CCCCCCACCCATTTTTGTTTTACAAAATCGTGGATGCGCCACTCTACGTTAAAGGCGGTTTTCCACTAGGTGAATCGAAAGCGTCGGTCCATGCGCATGCGCCTTCACATTTCTATCGGAGTTTTTGCGAAGCGAAAAAAATGCGCAAACAATCAGAGCACAGGAAGCGAACCAACGCTTTGATTCGCGCGAATAAACCGCCTAGTCGAAAACCAGCTTTACAGTATTATTTACAGCTTCACTGTATTATTGACAGCTTATTATTGACAGTTGTAATCTGTGCTCTGCTATACAGGAAGATGTGGGTTTTCAAGGAAGTGTATATCTTGGGTTGTTGTTAGCTGCAGTGCCTGAGAATTCTATAAACAAACAACAGTAGTTGCGAGCAATAATTGAAAAAAATATGAAAATTTTAAGAATTCAATTGTGTCATCAGAGAATAGGCTAGTACTGTATGACATTTTTACAACTTTTATTCAAATAGGCTAAATATTTTTCTGGATGTATAATATTATTAAATCATGAATGTTACTGTTATTATTACAATTTCAATAATGATAGTAATAATAATAATAAATATTATTGTTTTTATATATTATTTATAATAGGTATTGTTGGATGAGTATTAATATCAGTCTCCATTGAAAATAAACAAGTATGTACCGGGGTCAAAAGGGTTGGCACAGCCCCAATCCTGACTTCCTTTCCAGTCTAGTTTGCACATTAGTTCAATGTCATATGCTGTTCCTGATTATAAGCTGTTTTAAGTGGAGGAAATTCTACAGTGGAATGTTTGTAACTTCCGTCCCCTGAAGAACGATTCATTGATTTCATATTATTTTCACCTCTGCTAAGGCACCGAAATGTGGGATGATATACCAAATATTCCCTTCGTGAAATAAAAACCAAATTCAAAGAATGTTTAGAATGATTGTAACTTCCATCCCATGACTATTTGTGTATATACACTAGACAACTGCTTCTTTATGGTTTTACCTGATTTTGGAATGTGTAGTTATTACTACTACAAAGCAGACAACTATTACTACAAAGCAGACAATGTTCAAACTTCCGCTTTCTTGTTAGGTCATAACTGCCGCTTGTTGTCGTTATTGTTACGTATTATATCTTCCTTTGGAAATGTCGAGCGACCGTAATATTTTTCGCACGCCCCCGGAAAAATTACTGGCGCTCCCCAGTCGCCCCCTCCAAAAAAATAATCACGATCATTTTAAAAATCACTTAAAATCACTTTATTTTGCGAATTAGCGCCCCTCAACTGATCAGATCGAGCCCCACATCAGCACGCCCATTTCAAGACTTCTAGATACGCCACTACTCCATTATGTCTATGATTATGCTGTGTACCCCACTTGAAAGAAATCTTAGGGCAGTGGTGGTGCCAGGATTTGCCCGGCAGGGGGTGGGGGTGTCCGAGGACCTCCAGTCGCGCCCCCCTTCCACTTTTTTGAAAATCAAAAGAAAGGAAAAAGAAATAATTGTTCGCCCAAAATATATAAGTATATATATATACACAGTATATAGATTAAAAGGCAAAATACTGAAAAACAACAATGCTGTGGGAAACAATGGCTGGATCTCAGTAGAGATACAAAAATGATAAGCAACAGCTAAAAAGTAAACGTAAGTAAACAGCCAGAGATAGGACCAGAGCCTTCGGACAACACTAGTCCTTCCTCAGTGGCGAGTGAGTGAGGGTAGAAAAAGCTAGATGGTATAAAGTGAAAATTTCATGCAAGCATGATTGGAAACAATAGGCTGGGTGAGATTAGAATAAACAGCCTAAACAAGTAAATAGGAAGGCCAAAACTAAACCTTAGAGGCAGGCCTTAATAAATAAGCCAAATGATTCATCCAGAATAAATTGAAATGCCATTGGTTTAATTTAGTGTACTGGGAGAACGTTCTTAATATTGAGTCCAAATGGTGTGGTTGTTTTAAGTAAAAGTTCGCAGTGATTTTCTTTTTCTTTGCGATTTTTGTCGCTCCAACTGGCATTGTGGTCAATTGCAATCACTCTGAAATTTGAAATTGAATGACCAGCTAAATTGAAATGTTCGGCTACTGGTTGATCAAGCTTAGATGTTCTGATAGCTGATCTATGTTGTGTCATTCTCATACGGAGAGTGTTTTTTGTTTCTCCGACATATTGTTTACCACAAATATTACAATATATGAGATAAATGACATTTTTGGTGAGGCAATTAATTGATTGCCTTATCCAAATTTTTGTGATTTGTTTGGTTGCTCTTGAATGATTGTGTAGAATCAAGCAAGGAGCATGTTTTGCATGATGAACCACAAAGATGACTACCCAAATTACGGTTGTCGCAAGAGTTAGTTTACCTCTTGAATTTAGATCGTACTAATATATCACGAAGGTTAGGTGGTCTGCGATAGGCTATGAACGGTGTATCCGGAAAAACAGACCTAAGGCGTCCTGTGGTCTCTAGAATGGGCATATGTTTCTGAATTATAGCCCTTAGTGGTGGTAACCTAGGGTGATAGGTAGATACTTATATATATGTATATATATATATATATAAGTATATATATATAAGTATATATATACTTATATATATACATATATATATAAAGTATATATATAGTTATATATATACATATATATATAGCTTATATATAGCCTATATAGGCTTATATAATTTCAGCATATATATTCTACATTACATTTTTTTTTTATTCTTATGTAGGTATCTTTTCTTGGTTTATGTGAGGAATGGTAATATTTATAGGCCTATATATACTACATTACATTTTTTCATCCTTTTGTAGGTATCTTTTCTTGGTTTATGTAAGGAATGGCGTTACATACCTATGTGTAATAGATAGGGATTTCAATAAAGGAACAGCGAACGAGTACCTTCTGGACGTAATAGAAAAAACTGAAGGATATACCAGAGACCAACCCGATGGACGCTCTGATTTCACAGAGCAACAAAAAAATGAAATTACCAAGGAGATGGTAGGATATTTTGGAACTCTTACGTCATAAAGCGCATCAAGGTCTAAGCTTGCTTGCTTTTTATTACCACAGTGTCAAAGGACCAGACACCTGTGCCCCGGACTTCCCATTGGTGTCCCCACTGAGGAGGGGGATTCCCGTTGACATCAGTGAAAGAGGCCTTAACCAGGGGCTGATCCAGAATTTTTCAAACAGGGTGGCACAACATTTTCAAAATAAAACAATAAGAAAACGGTAGCACTTTATAGACTAGTTGAACTAGTGTATAACGGTAGCATTTTAAAAGTGCTACCGTTTTCTTATTGTTTGATTACTGTTAAGACTAGTACGGCTCACCATATTATTTTCAGAATAGTTATGTATATTGGTTATTTCAATACATAACAGTGATATGCATTGAAATTTTAAAATTTAGGGGCAAAACGGGAGTGGGGGGAACGTTCCCCGTTCCCCCTACTGGATCCGCGCCTTTAATGTAATATCTGGGGCGTAGGCTGGTTTCGGTTTGGGATGGGGGAGGGTGCGAAAGAAACGGGCTGGGGTGTGCGAAAAGTTAAAATGCGGAACTAATGCGGAATTAAATTAGCCTACGCCCATCCGTGTTAAGCTCACTTAGTTGCCTGTGGTCCAGGTGCTGGAACAAGTCTTCCGAAAAAGGACTATAAACCGTGGCCCATGTGTACTCAATTGGCTCATGTGTACTTTAAAGAACCCAGTACATCTTTCCAGACGAGTAGGGCGTTACCCCGGTGTACTGGTTAATACCAGCGCTTACGGGCCATAGGTCCTTTGCTGGATGTAGTACCTACGTAAACGTAAACGTACTAATTTCTGTTCCTTTGTCAGAGAAAACAAAAAATTACCAAACTAGACAAAGTTCAAGGCGAGGTCGATGAATTGAAAGACATCCTGGTACAAAATCTCGAGAAAATTTTAAGCAGAGGCGATAAACTTGATGTTCTCATGGATAAAGCTGAACAACTTGAAATACATGTAAGTAAAAGTTAAATACCCACACACACGCACGTGACACAATCTAATTCCCTCTAAAGCCCAGGAACAGTGGTGGCGCCTGGATTTGCCAGGTGAAGTGGGGTGGGGGGAATGTCCCCGACGAAAAGAATGGGCGTGGTCGGGCTCAAAATCTATCAAAAGTGGAGAAGCCCCGCAAAATTTGATAATTTAGTGATTTTAAAGGCTTATTTACGGTAATGGATTTGGAGTCTACTTACTAATATTTAGAAAATACATATACATTTGTTTTCTCCCTAACGAATTATGGTTTTTCTCCCCGACGTTGGTAGGTGGGTGGGGGGCATCTCTCCCCAACAAAAACAAATTTCTAAATAGCTAATAATTAAAATAATTATATTAAAAAAATTATAAAAAATCACAAGAAACAGGGCTAAGAGAAACAAGAAACGCACCAACCAACGCACAAAAAACACAAATCACACAAAAACACTCATAAAAAATGTCAAGTCAGTACTAAAAAAATTAACAATACATTCTTATAACAGTTAGTACTTCAGTAGTTACTACTAGGAGACAGGTTCTTCACCCTAAGTCACACTTACAATGACATGTACAAGGCAATACCTTATATAGTTTTGTGTCAACATTTTTGTCGTTTCTATCTCAACTAGAACAAATTATTATTTAACATTATCATACATTAATCATTACTTCTTGTTCTTTATTTGTAGGCTCATGCATTTCAGAAGACGGCAAAGAAAACTGAAGGACGGTTTAAGGATCGAAATAGGCGTTATAAAATTCTTTTAGGAGTTGTTATTGCTGTTATAATAATTATAGTTATTGTCGTACCCATCGCATTGTCCCTTTAATAACTTCAAAATTAAAGTTAGATATGAGTCTAGATAGGCCTAATCCACTGTCAAACAGTGCATTTTTGGGAGGATTCGTAAATTTAAAGAAGACAACAATGGTGTTGCCGAATTGACGGATTGTTGTAGGCCTACTTGTGCGCATTTTGTGGGTGTATTTTGTCTAATAGGCCTAAGATTTGCATTAAAATAATAATGCGTTATATAACGTTGATTGTTCGAGGAAAACGGAAGAGAGCGATTAAATCAATATATGAGGATAAGCGTGATATGGACACCAGTTCCATCAGATCATGAGTAATTAATGCGGATATGTTTGAATATTCATTCTTAGCGATGTACACCTAAAAAATTTCGATAATTTCAATCGATGGTCGCCTGTCAAAAATGGCGCCAAGATTTTCCCGACGGTGGAGTTTCTGGGAAGGAGGTATCAGTAAGCGGGGCCAAGGGTCGCCCAGAACTACTAACGAGTCTCAAAATTATGTAAAAAAATATACTTTTCTCCCTGACAAATCGTCACTGAAGCGTACTTAATGAGTGTAATGTTTCGTCCAATGAGATTAGGCAATTGTGTCGTTTTAATTTACATATTATATTAAACTTTGCCGTCCTGAAACACAGCATAAACAATCATAAAAAGGCACTCATGAGGCACAAATGAGAGGAAAGACGCGAACTTTCAACGTTGAAAACGAATTTATAACAACCGTGTACACGCAGGTACCTCGACGGCAGTTTGCTTTGCGTGTCGGTATTATATCGCTTATAATAAAACAGGACATGCACATAGCAGATTAGATTTTCGAAGATATCAAAACTTTATTAAAATTGTAGGTGTTGTTTTACATTGCCGTTGCTAAAACATTAAAGATAAAGTGTGTTAATATTTAAAAAACATAATAAAATAAAATTTGTTTCATTTGTACATATAAGTTTTAAGTTACGTTTCAAGATATATATATATATATATATATATATATATATATATATATATATTATCACAGAAATAGCAGCATTAATAAATGTCGAACCATAGAGAAAGAAAAGATTTATTTATTTCTCTATTTAATTATGCGTTTTAAATCTGCACATTAACTTGTTATTATAATGTTTGATTACTACAAAACGCTTTCTATAGTTTGGTTTATTGAGAATATTAAAATAATTATTCATATAATGTTTTTCAAAAAATATTACATTTATTTATAGTGTATTCTATGGGTTTTAGACAAATTATTTGTTGAATAAAACTTCAATAAACACATATGTTTGCATCTGTGTATATGCATCTTTGCCTATGTATATATTATTTGAATGTAAGCAGATCAGATATATAATATCCTCATTCCATTGTGTGGTGCAGGCGACCACTGACCTTTTCCTTTCCTGTCTGCAGCATTAGTCTATAATGTTTTCTGGTGTACGTTAGCCGTTTTTCCTTCAAAATCAAGTTGGAAATTATTTTAAATTATTATTTTTAGGTCTATTTATGAATGGGCCCCTAATAGCCCTGGCCCCCAATGCTTTGCAGTGGCTGCACTGCCCGTAGCTACGCCACTGGTGTGGACTCTCACGCACCACTCACCGCCAAATCCTGCATCCGCCCCAGAGGGTGCACTGTATTGGGAGGTCTTCTGTTGCAGACAAAAATTATTTTCTATTCAATAAGAGATTCTTTCTTCTAAGTATATTATATATAACACGTATTACATACT